GTGATTCGAGGAATGCAATGATTCTTTCTATGATTGAAAGAAAGCTATTTTTCCATTATGATTAAATTTGAGTTGCATTTTATAAAATAAATTGTATTGAAAGTTTCTCTTTCACCCTTCACTATAAATTTTCGTGTCCGTGATTATGTTATCAATTATTCCGATGGTATTAAATCGGGTCGTCAGCGGGGTACAGGAAACGCTCACCAATTAGTAATTAGGGCTGCGTTTCGGCAATTAATCAAGCTGCAGGAGGAAGGATTCGCATGTGTGGCCACCGCCACCAACACCGTAGTTATGCAATAGAAGGCGCGATCCTTAAATACCAAACACATTTACAAGTATACTTTGGCGAAACGTTTCGACGTCTAGACCTCCCTCGTACACACCAGCCATCTGTCAATCAAAAGACAGGATCCGGAAACTCGACTAATTTGAAACATCGACGCGAAATTTCGTATAATACGGTTCTGGTGGTTTTTATTCAGTCTGGCGCCAGAAACACGACAAGGGTCACCAATGTCACGATTTATTTCCTTCTTCTTTCAGTGGAAACAGCAATAAAACGGCGTGTTAACTAAGACGATGTTTATCGCGAGCTGCGGGACGCCATTAGAAAAAATATCGAGTGAAATTCGTGCGATGCGTACATAGTGGCCGGCCGCAAATTTTCCAATGAAAAACTCGGGTATCATAAATAACGAGGCCGTGGTTGTGTGTCCGTTTTAATTACGTTTCCCAGATGAAGAGATAGGGAAGGGATATCGTATATCAAGGATACAACATGCGGTTTACCTTCCCGAGTACAAACCCATCAATATCACGAAGGTGACACTTTTCGAGTTTAACGACTTTACGAATCGATATCGAGGATATCTGGAACTTTTTTCGGGAAAGGGTCATTGCGAGTGCAACTAGTAATGGTTGCAAAATGCATTAAGACCAAATAGATTGGATTAAAAGAGGGAGAGCTGACGATAAACAAAATTACTGTCGAGTAGAGAGACATTAGGCGTACTCTGTAACCTTGTTAGTGGATGTTCACGCTGGAATGACTGCGCGCGAATTATTCCTGATCCTGCTGCTGCTGCTGATTCATTATGGCTTAATTGAATCAGGATCGATTGCACGACATAGTGTATCAAACGAAAGAAAAAAGTTCGATTCTTGTCTTTACTCGTATAGTTATGGATTCATAAAACGCCTTCAGAACGATGTCGGAATATTTATTTTAATTATTGTTTCGAAATACAGTTAATGTTAAGTACATGTTAATAATGTGTCAACTTGCTCCACGTTATTGCTTTACTAATAAAGTGTCTTGTTTCGTATTTTGGATTTTTGTCTTATCTCTGCCAGACTTTCTTAATTCAAAAATGTTTCTCTCGAATTTTAATAAATACGATTACTTTTACTCGTTTTTTCTGTCACTTTAACCTATCACATCTCCAAAAATTAAATAATTTTGGGTAATAAATCTGTTTCTTTAATTTTAACACCCTGTTTCTATACATAATCAATGTATATTCGTATAGGTTGAATTTTAAAAACTTTACAATAAAATTAGAAATTACCATTAACATTTATTTTCTTTATTAACGATACTCTAAAATCATGGTATACAGGATGATTCTTAAATAGACCGACAAAGTTGTATCACAGCTTCCTAAGGATAAATGGAAACAAACTGTACCATTTTTACGTTTATACCTTTTAGGGGCAAAACCCCCTTGATCCGTGCCATTTACGGCGTTTATGAATTGTTGCAATGATCAAGTAKGTTAATACCATGGTTTCCACTATCTGTGCGAAAACATCAGTGGCGGACGTTTTACTTCGAAAATAACTTTAATAAATTTTGTTTGAAGAACGTTTAAACAAAGAATTTTTTAAATATTTTTTCCAGCATGTTCTTATTTTATACTACCAAGGATAAAATTTTGTCGGTCTATTTAAGTATCACCCTGTATTTGTTTTAAAACTTTTAAATTCTGTGAAATAATTTTTCAATGTTATTCTGACGTGACATACTTACAGGTCCAAAACTACGAGTATAACTTTATTACTTTTTTTATCAAAGTTAAATAGTTTATTGTGAGCAATTTTTGTGCAACTTTGTTCCAAAAAGTTTTGTAATATTTTTATAATAATGGAGTTAAAGTTTGAGCCGTTTTTTTATAATCTATAGCCTGTATAAGTGGATTTTTTATAACCGAGCTGTTGCTACGCATCTCGCGAAATGATAAATGCGAGGTTATAAAAAAATTTCTCTATCGTATTTTATTAAATGAATTTTCAAACTTCAAAATATGAACTGTTTGTTAAAATAACAAAGGAACTGCAAAGAAAAGGGAAAAAGTTTTAAAATTTGCCCTACTACTATTTGTTGTTTTGAGAGATTTGACATAGAAAAAAAAATAGAGGTGGAATTATTATGAGTAAGTTTAAAAGTATTTTTTATTTGATTTTGCATTACTTTCCTCTCGAAATAATTACTTTCACTAGTACTTGTGATGATAATAGTTTAAAAAAATTATATTCTAAACAAATTTGTATCAATGTAGGTATTTGCCCAGCTCTAATCCATTATTACCCTTGGTCTATAATGAAAAAGGTTATTGACCACTAGAACGGAAAAACAACTTCACAACCTCTCGACAAACTAAATAATGATACCTTTTACTACTAGTAAAAGGTAAAAAAAATGGTAAAATTATCTAAAAAAATGGTAATATTATCTAAAATGCAAAAGAAGTTTTTTAAAAAGTTTACTTAATATTAATTTTTTAACAAGGAAACTTTAAAACATGTTAATAGTGTAATTTTGTATGCAGGAATAATAATAATATGCTTAATTTTTTATTTTGTACTCAATGTTAAAGAGTGATTTTATCAACTAAGTTCAGTAGATAAAGTAGTAATTTTGTAAGCAGGAATAATAATAATATGCTTAATTTTTTATTTTGTACTCAATGTTAAAGCGTGATTTTATCAACTAATTTCAGTAGATAAAGTAGTCTTTTATCGTCTAGTGAAATAAAGTAATTTTTATCTACTGTTTATATTTTATCAACTAAAGTAGTCTTTTATCGTCTAGTAAAATAAAGTAGTTTTATCTACTGTTTATATTTCAAGAAATTCTGGTAGGTGAGTACAAAATAAAACGAAATATTAGACACGACCATAAAGATTGTTTATCTACTCGTGAAAAAAGTCCACTCATGACTTCGTCACTCATAAACTTAAACTTTTCGCTCGTAGATAAACAATTTCTTTATCGTCTTGCATAATAAATAAGTATTAATTTTTCTGGAATATGTAGCATTTTAAAGTTAGAATCGTAATTTTTTTTTTTTTCGTTTACAAAGATTTTAACTGAAAAAAGGTATGTATCAACCTCTCAGTTCGTAAGCTTATTTAAGCATTTTACAAAAAACGAATTTCCCTACTGTATTTTTTATTATTATTTTTAAACTTTGGTCAACCTATCGACTGAGGTTTTACAATATCTAGAACTTTGCTTATATTCAGGTTTTTTAACAACTGCAATTTTTTTGTGTATTTAGCATCTAAAAAATTATAAACTTGTAACTAGTTGCAACAAAAATATCTCGAATTAATTTTATTAATAATGTTCATAAATAAGTTCATGTTGTTCTTTACATCTAATACAATGAAATGTAGGTGAAGGTAAGAAACAACAAACGAATTTAGAAAGGGAATGCGATAGTTATTTTAAACGAAGTAGTTGTTTCGACTTACAATGAAAACATCGTTTAATAATACCTATTAGTGTTTTAGCGTTTTTACTCATATTTTGACACCTGGACTCACAAATAACTCAGGTGTGTCTAACAAGACCCGTATAAGTCGATTATCATAGAAAAACGTGTTTGTCAACACCTGAACCACCATTACTATGTTAGTAATTCGTCAACAAAAGCAATTAGTTTAACTGGAGAAAAAACACCGAATTAAGAAACACGTGTTTTGGTAGTGCTAAAATATAGTCATTTCCGACGTTTCACACAACTTGTCAGGAAGCAGCTCTTATTGTAGTCACTTATTTTAAGTAATGCAAATAAAAATCATATGTGAACATTACGTTTAGTGAAATTTTTGGTCTAAAAATAGAAGATTGATCTCACTTTCATCACGAGGCGGTGCTCGAGCTATAATTCTGTGTCACTGTTCATTTCCTACAAATGAATCCATTTACCACTCAAAAGGCTTGTTTTTTTCCCTATTTTTTCCAAAAAATCGAACGGGATTTTGAGAAAAAAGAAATTGTAAATAGAAACTCATAGTTTTTGATAATGAGTTATTTTACTTTTTAAACGAGAGACAAAGAAACAGATGAGACAGTGCTGAAGAAGAGTTTGGCTTATTTTATTGATTTCTTCCTTCGACAAACTTGTTTAAAGACGACTCGTCAAGTCGTATCGATACAACACTTCTTGTCTATTCCTCCCATAATAAAGCCATAATCCCATACGCATCACCAATAGTCGTATGTTCTTTCGATAAACCGTTTAGTTTCTCATCGCCCATGTAAATTCTCTCATGTTTTTCGTCCACCCGGTCATCGAAAGAGACAAAAGGTGCCTCGTTATTTATCACGAGGACAGACTGTCACCCTGACAGCAAGTTTATGTGGACCTGTTCCGATCGGAATGTCAAGATAACACTTGATATTCCTAAGACCCATTGTTTTACCTGCGTTTCAAACTGAAAAAACGACCCCAGACTGTCGTAAATTCGACGAAAAATCGCAGGAAAATTCCTGCTGTTATCAGGGCGCAGTCTCGTCTTTTGCCAATGTGGGAGCCGGTAGCAGACAGATCGATATTATCAACAATCATGATCAGTTCCGCGGCTCCTCCTCCGGATTTTACGCCGCCGTGGCGGCCATCTTGCCGTGTCGAAGGAGATTTTTTAATTAGATTCAACGTTGAATTAAACATTTCTGTGTTAATTAGCAGGATTTTCCCTTATTACAGGTGCTGAAATACTGCGATCACTTGCATGGAAAGTGGTACTTTTCTGAAGTCAGGGCCATCTTCTCGCGGAAATATCTACTCCAGAATGTGGCCATCGAGATTTTCCTTGCGAGCAGAAGTAACTTTTACCCCTATGAATCAATCGCATTTTATTAATAATTTTTTTATAGCTTCGATCATGTTTGCTTTTCCCGATCAAGCCACCGTGAAAAAGATAATAAAGGCCTTGCCTCGGGTGGGCGTCGGTATCAAATATGGAATACCACAAACAAGGTAAGTCTTACGGTGGGTTTTTGATTACAATTAATTAATTTTTTAATGTCAGACGGGCTAGTATGATGTCACCTCGACAACTGATGAGAAATTCAAATATGACGCAGAAATGGCAACGCAGGGAGATATCAAATTTCGAATATCTCATGTTTCTCAATACGATAGCCGGTGAGTTTGAGAGATTTTTGGCGAAATTGATAGGGAGGGTCGGATAGCGACACTTGTTTTCGCAGCTTTGGCCGAAAACAAGCGTCAAATAAACGCAAAAAGAGGATTTGTGCTTTTTAATTTTTTTACTACAAAAAAGACGAAAAAATATAACTTCGAATACTTTACAAAGTGAGTTGTTTCCTTCATTTGAATAAAATCTGAACATACAATATACACAGCATTATTTTGAAACTCATTAATTTTAAAAGGCAGTAACTTGTTTTATGGACCTTTTTTTCATAATTTTAAAGGTGAGCAAAAACTTAAAAAAATGTATTTCTATTACTAGCTTTGGCCTAAAGCAAGCGTCAACTAAAGGCAAAAAGAGAATTTTTTTACAGGGTGTTTCACATAATTTTACGAGGCCTGCGCCTGTAAGATGCAATCAGTAATACATATTCTGATACGAACTAGATTACAAATTTTGAAAAATTGGATAATCTTCTCTAGTTTGTTCATTATTTAAAAAATTACAACGTTTTTAGTTAGTTAGTGATTAAGATTGATAAACTAGAATCATATTCATGTCATCTCTTAATAGAACGAATGATAATTGTTTCTGAAAAACTGCAGTTGATAACTATTAATGAAACAATGATTAGTTTTATAACTACTGCCATGGGTTTCTAAAAATTAAATAATTCGATGTGTATTTTTTGTATCCAATGTTTTGTAACTTTTGTATATTTGGGTGCGTACATTACGCGCAAGCCTCGTAAAGTTGTGTGATACACCCTGTATGTATTTTTTATTTTTTTTACTTCAAAGAAGACGAAAAAATATGACTTTGAATACCTTACAAAGGGGTTTTTTTCCTTCATTTGAATAAAATCTGAATATACAATAGTATACACAGCAACTCATTAATTGTAACTTTAAAAAAGGCAGTAACTTGTTTTATGGAACTTTTTTCTCATATTTCTAAAGGTGAACAAAGACTGTAAAAATTGTATTTCTATTATTACAATATTTTTTTATTTTTATTGAAATATAAAAATAGAAAAATAACTCACTTTTCTAGTATTAAGAAGTTAACTTTTATTAAGTTTTAGCTTTTTCCTTTAAAGTTCTAGAACTTTTTAACTTTTAATTTTATAGTTATTAATTTTAATTTTTTTTTCTAATTTTTTTATCAAATGCAATATTTGAAAATACCCACCCCCAGTTTATAAAATATTTTTTCATGAAAGCTTTACATGTTTGTCCGTTTGAAGAAGTGCTTATTAAACTCGTATTGTGGAGAAACGTGTTGTAATTATTAAAAAAAAATGTTATGCGTTAGACGCATATAACATATTTATTTGCAAATTGCAACAACAAAGATGTACTTTATTGTTTCTTTTCATAATTTATTAATTTAGTAACAATAAGGATTGAAATTGTCTTGGTTATCTTGGACAAAAATTAAAAGACTGTTTTGAAATTCATTATTGGTTACTTTCAGCAATTTAGTTTGATATTTGTACAACATTATTTCGAAAACAGTCCAAATATTTTTTTTAACAAGAAACAGTCAGTGTTTTAATTAGAGCTTTCACTTTCTCTATCCTCTCGAAATAACTTCGGTGTCTCAGCTAATTACCTTTCGGTAATCGAAACGGAAATTCTCTTCAACTATGTTCTATGAGACGTCGCATGCGAAATTACCGGTTGTCACAAGGAGGCTGTCTCTAAATTAAAAACGCATACATCACTTCTCATCTAAAAATAACTCTCGGCAATGTTTTCGTTTAAATAAGAGAGAGGGTGGCGTCGGGACGGTAATCCAGGCTTAGTGTCCGCGTAGCGTGAGTGAAGTGGCGCCTAATTCGCGTCGACGTCCTACCGAACAACCCCAACAACGCCCGAAATAGAATATTCGTAATTTCGTACGCCGGGAAAGATATATTTCAACACAAGAGGGTAATTAATTACGTGCAGATGAAGTTCGTTGACTTGTGGCCCTGTCGGTGGACGGGAATTTATTCATTTGTGATTTTATCTCGCGGCGAGGGATTTATTTGGGGAGGAATTGTGGTGGGAACGTAAAAATTCCAAAGTCGGGAAGAGAATAGTTGACATTTTTTTGATAAAATCACTTGGTTGAGTAAACGTTTAATATAGAGGCTAGGCAACCAATTATACATTTTATACAGGACGGACTTATAACGACCTCAACCAGTACCCTGTGTTTCCTTGGGTCCTCACAAATTACGAAACAAAGGAACTCGACCTAAGCCAACCTAGCAACTATCGTGATCTTTCCAAGCCAATCGGAGCCTTGAATCCGAATCGAAGAGCCTATTTCGAGGAGAGATATTCGACATGGGAGCACGAAAGCATCCCACCGTTTCATTACGGCACTCACTATTCGACTGCAGCTTTTGTCTACAACTGGATGATTCGTGTCGTAAGTATTCGTTTAGATTCCGATCAAAAATTTCATTATTTGTCATTAGGAACCGTTTACTACAATGTTCCTCGCTTTGCAAGGCGGCAAATTCGATTATCCGAACCGTCTTTTCACTTCGGTGGCTCTTTCCTGGAAGAACTGTCAACGCGATACTTCCGACGTCAAAGAGTTAATTCCAGAGTTTTTCTTCCTACCGGAAATGTTCCTCAATGCGAATCGATACAGGTTAGGGATTGGTGAAGACGGGAAAGCTATCGGTGATGTGGAATTACCACCATGGGCGAATTCCCCGGAGGAGTTCGTCCGGATTAATCGAATGGCTTTAGAATCGGAGTTTGTCTCTTGTCAGTTGCACCAATGGATCGATTTGGTGTTTGGGTACAAGCAGAAAGGTCCAGAAGCGGTGCGAGCAACCAACGTTTTTTATTATTTGACATATGAGAACAATGTCGAGTTGGATTCAATTCAGGATAAGGTGATGAGGGAAGCAGTGGAGAACCAAATCCGAAATTTTGGTCAAACGCCGTCTCAATTATTGATGGAACCTCACCCTCCACGAAGCTCAGCCATGCATTTATCGCCGATGATGTTCTCCAGTATTCCTGATGACGTTTGCATGACGATGAAATTCCTATCGAATAGTCCCATCGTCCACATTTCAGCCAACACTTACCCACAGTTATCGAACCCATCAGTGGTCACCGTGACCATGCACCAGCAATTCGCGGTAAATCGTTGGAATTCGGGGTACGCAGCTGTGGCCCAATCACCGAGTTATGCAGAAACGCCCCAAAACCAGGCTGCCAACTTACCACTCTCCATGGACCCGGTTTTATGTAATTTTACCAAACTTTTTTTTTTTTTTTCTAATAGTTTTGATTGCAGCCCAAACAAACAACAGTGCCCAGAATCACATGCTTCGTCGCCACCTTGGGGATAATTTCAGTCAGAATTTAAAAATTCGATCTAATTGTTTCGTCACGACCGTTGATAGTAAATTTTTAATTGCATGCGGTTTTTGGGATAATAGTTTTCGGGTGTTTTCGACCGAAACTGCCAAAATCGTGCAAATTATTTTTGGTCATTACGGCGTTGTCACTTGTTTGTCACGATCGGAGTGTAATATAACATCCGATTGTTATATAGCATCGGGGAGTGTCGATTGTACGGTTTTGTTGTGGCACTGGAACGCACGAACTCAAACGATTGTCGGCGAAGGGGAAATACCGTCTCCTAGGGCGACATTGACGGGACACGAACAACCCGTTTCCAGTGTGGTGATATCGGCAGAGTTGGGATTGGTCGTTTCAGGATCCTATAGTAAGTTTTCAAGGTTTTTTTAGACGTTTAGGTGTTTAAAAACTCGGATTTTTTAACTTTTCGTGCTACTGAAAAGCTGAAAAATTAAGAATAGGACTGGAAATCTTCCGTTGTGTTTAAGTAATCAATTAAATACTTTAAATATTGTTTTGGTTGTGAAAAAATATCTGGAGATTTCGTAAACAGCCGCAAAATTGCAATAGCATTTCTGTTAAAAGAGTAATTGGTTATTTAAAGAGGTAGCAAACATGTTAATGTGTGGAAATCCTTGTAGATGGTCCAGTTTTGGTGCATACGACTTTCGGCGATTTGCTCCGGTCTCTGGAGCCCCCGCAAGGTTACGCCTCGCCAGAGAACATCGCAATGTCGCGAGAGGGAGTCATCGTCGTGAACTACGAAAAAGGGAATATTGCCGCCTTTACCATCAACGGGAAGCGGTTGAGACACGAGTCCCATAACGATAATTTACAGGTTTGAAGTAAAAAAAACTCTTGGAGGTTTTTTGATTGTTTTTTTTTAGTGCCTATTACTTAGCCGAGATGGAGAATATTTGATGACCGGTGGTGACAAAGGCATTGTGGAAGTGTGGAGAACGTTCAACTTGGCTTTATTATATGCCTTCCCAGCGTGTGATAGTAGCGTTAGGTCTCTTGCGTTATCACATGATCAAAAGTGAGTGTCATTTGTTTATATTCATATGGCATTGGGGGGATAAGCATGCGTTTTATTTTTTTCATGCATCATCCATTTTGAGTTTGAATGAAACAATTTCGTTTCAGGTTTTTGCTAGCGGGTCTAGCTCTAGGATCGATAGTCGTATTTCACATTGATTTCAATAGATGGCACCATGAATTTCAGCAACGTTACTAAACTTAGCACGTACTTATTCCTGTTTTAATGTAGTACTTAATATTGGATTTTATTGTTCAATTACAGTAGCGAGATGTATTTTTTGTTCTGTTTGTTTTTCGATATTTTAATGTGCAATATCTTCGTAGTTTTTTTATTGTTAACTGATTTTGTTTTATGTATAGATGTAGATAATGATTTTACATTCCGTAGTAAGTTAGTATTGGCTTCGTCTGTTGTAAAATACTAACTTATGAAGATAGTGTGCATTATTATATGATTTTAATTTGAGAGACTAGCTTTTAAGGGTTAAACAGTTCAAGTCAATCTTTAAAGCTGGCTTTTAATGAGTTGTGAGTGAGTTTAAGCACATAGTTATGCTTAGGGCTTGCACATCCATTGCCAGCAATTGTTGAGCCAAATTTTGGCGCACTTTTTCGATACTGTATCTTCATCAACGCTACGAAGTCGGTAAAGATACAGTCATCTTAAAAACCATTCCCTCCAGCATATGTATTATATATTGCAAATCTGTCCAGATATAAAAATCAAACTTATTGTATATAAGTAACTTGTTTTTTTATGATACGCTACTTAATTATGTGTATTTAAAAATATTTAATTCTTGTATTATTTTATTACTTATGGAGATTGTACTTAATTGTAATAAGAAACATTGTATGTTTGATGTTAGCAATAAACATTCATCATTTGTATACACAATATTAAAAATAAATGTGTTTTGTTCAGTGCTTTATTTATACTTTTCCATCACATGTAACAAATCGTTGTACAAAAAACTTCGGGCATTATTAGCTAACACAAAATCTAAGTGATTGAAATGTTTATAAGGAATTTTAAACTTTCCAGTCACATTCCCCAGACGTTGGCCCAAATAATCCACGTCTTCTTGAGTCACCAGCAAGTCACCAGGACCGTAATAAAGAGCCACCGGGGCCGTGACTTTAGCCAAATCGTAAATAAAAGGAACTGTTTTACCGGTTGTATACCTCGCAAATTCACCACTCGTGTAATACTCTACGATATTAGCCACGACTTTGAGGGAAGTACCAGCAGGATAATACTGAACGAAATTAGGAAACGTTGTCTAAAAACAAAAATCAAAATCAATAACCTATATCAATCACCCTTACTGTATTTAGTTGACTCGGGTCCTCTCCAACGACGGAAAAAATCAACATCAAGCACAATTTCTGCAACGGAGAGCCGTCTTCACAAGCTGCTTCCACGAGTTTACTTACATGGAGTCGCCGCGGCCAGATTTCGTAGATGCTCATTGACTCCACCAGAGACTTGAAAAGTTGTTTTTTCATGAAAATTGAATGAAAACTAGACTAATTGACAACAGTACAAGTGCTTGGACTAGTTTAATGACGCAACGTGTGAATTTAACATAACTTGTATTATTTTCAAATTGTAGGGGAAAGTGGGGTAAGTGTGTATTGGATAAGTGCATCAAGGTTTTTTTTTAAATATAATATTGTACATAAAGCATTATTTAAAAAATCAGGAAAAAATCATTTCGTTAAGCAGTTAAATCTTCTATATTTTTTAAAAATACAACACTATTACTTTTTAAATATGTAAATTTAAATTAGAAAATTTAGTATCCTGTCTCATTTTGGCTCTCTATAGTAGTAACATTAGAATAATTATTTGTTTTTGTACAAATTTCTTGTTGCTATATAAACACTTTAAAGATGGATAATGTTTAGTTTATGTTTTATTTCCTAATGAATAAATTTTTTACTTATGTTTTTTTACTAAAAATTTCACACAAGATTTAAAATTTTAGGCGTATTTTCATGGCCGTCAAGATATGTTTACAACGCATCCAGGGCTATAGAATACGACCATGACAATGTAAAAACAGCTATCTTGATTAATCTCAACCTTCATTTTATGAAATATTAAAAAAGTGTAAATCAGGTATAGAAAAAAGTGTTTTATAATACTCATGAGTTATTTACATGCAAAATCTCTTCTACTTTGATATCACCCTCGTAAAGAAAGATTCAGGCGCTTATTGAAGAAATGCACGCATTGTCCCCTAAGTATTTTACCCAAAAAAATTATAATCCTATTTTTAATTTTTACTACAAACTCTGAAAAAAATATGCATCCGAAATTAAGCACTTTATTAGTACTCTTCTTCAAGTCATTTAAAATTGACAACTTTTTTTAGTTTTATAATTTATTTTGTGTTTAATGCTGGCTGATTGAATACTTACCAAAGCCGGCGATAGCAACGAAAACAAACCCTTATGCAATAAATTGAGCGGATGCCTGATGTGTGCTAAAGGTCCTAAAGCGATAAACAGGCGAATTTTGTTATTATACTCCGGCCGTAACGAGCAAGCAATAAATCCAGTTGAGCTCCCTATCGAGTGTCCCAAATAAAACAAATCCTTCTGGTTCGTTATATTTAAAATGTAGTCGATAGTGACCGGCAAATCGTAATAACCCATCTCTTCAATTCTAACAATTTCTTTAATAAAACATCAAGAAATGTTGTAAAAGTTACCCAAAATTCCAATATTCGGCATCGCGATCCGGATCTAGAAATTTATGTTTGCGGGAATAAACGTTTCCTCTCGTGTTAAACAACCACACGTCGTAGCCCGAATCTGCCAAAATGTAGGCTGAAAAATTTTTGTATACAATAGTTTGTGGGTGTTGTCGAAGTCGTCATACGTAGGTCCAAGTGGGGCCCTCTCGAAAGCCACATATCCGAGCAGCCGAATAAGCCGTGATGGATGAAGGCAACTGGTCTGGGTTTAGTACCCGCTGACTTTCGACCTCTTGGTATTCGATGGAGTGTCAAAATATGTCCCGTCTGTGACGCCACCAGATGCGTGTCCAAACGGTAACCGTAACTTCTCACAAGCTGATCCTGAAAGAGAGGTCAAGGTCTGGCAAAATTGACGAAAGTGATTCATATTCTATGTTAGTATGTTAAGAAATTAATGTTAAATAAAGTGTGTACAAGTAGCACAATGAAGATTTTACCGCAAGTTTGTGGCATTGCGTAATGCGTTACCAAATTATATTTTGATTATGATTTTTTCCTTTTTTTTCCACATTTAATAGATTGCATGCATGTTCGGAGATTTGTTACAAAACAAACTTGTGAAATGTTAATATTTCTATAATTAGAGGAGGTGAGTTTGACTTGTATTTATTTCGGTGGTTATATAACAAAACTAAATTGTGCGGGAACTAGAACGACGTACGTAATTAAGAGAAAAATATATTTAAATATTCTAGAATAAAAAATCGTGGTTTGATCGAAAATATTCGAGATGACTGAGCTTTAAGCCTTGATTAGAGCCAAGGTCACGGTTAACGGTAACGAAATTGAGATGTAGTAAACAATTTCGGAAGACAATAAACTTTCGTTCAATTTTCTCCAATGACCGTTAATAATAGTAAATATGGAGGTAAGTAGGATGATCAGTCATCATTCCCGGAATATGGATCCGGTCCCAAAACCACTCACACTGAAAAGAGAGAAAAATTTTTCACTCACCGTAACTTTTGGCGCCGCTCGTTCGCTGCCATTCGCCGTCGATAACCGGGGCCCGATGAAATATTCCCAAAAATCGCACCGACAAACTGGTAAAACACAAAACGCGCCGTAAAAAATTAAGAAATTCGCGCTCGGTTTCATTTTCGGTTTGACATGTCATAAGCTCGGTTTTGTTATTTCAGTAATGCTCGTGGTGAGAAAGTTTAAATGTGTTTGGTCAGACACAAGGCTCGTTTTAAGGAGAGTATGAGCTTCACGCTTAGGGATTACTAAATGTTTTCCGCATGTTATTTATTAATATGTGATTTTATGCATATTGACGCTCATAATTGATGATCGATTTTACAAATTGTGAAAAACGGATTGCGAGACGTTTTGCAAGTGCCGAACTGGTCTTTAATAAATTGCGGAATGGCGGAAAATGGGGCGGATTTACACCAATCAGAGCTTATTCAGGACTTTATTAAACAATAACATTATTAACATGAAAAAATTTTCCAAAGGGAACTCGAATCTTTAAAATAGCACGTTTTTAACAGACCGTTAGTTTTATGTAAAAAATAGGTAAAAATTATTTATCATAAATGGCAACAAAGTTTGAATTTGATTTTTTTTACGTTTGAAATTCTCACTAAAAAAATAAATGAAAAAACATTTAAAATTTGGATAGCTTTGCCATCTAATGATGAACTACGTATGTACAAGCCTCTTTTACAGCTTTCTAGAATTATAACAGATTTTTTTGTAATCTGCCTATCTTAAGAATGAAGTGCTGGGAAAAGTAGAAACTAAAATCACGAACTGTTGGAAATGAAACCTTCTTTTTCTATAATTGCAACCATCTTTTATTTTACAGCTTACAGATTTCTGTATTTATGTTCTGTAGTTTCCTAACTTTTTAGTGACTCTGACATTTCTGTAAAAACCTCTTTTGTTTTTTTTCTGAATTATTGTAATATTGATAAGTGTATTATTAAATTTGTCATTTTAAATTTGGTAAGACTACTTTAAATTGAAAATTTGACCTCAAAAAAATACAATTGCAATGTTGTCATTTTCTGTATAGATTTAAAACGAGATTTAGTAGAATTTTCCAATTTTCATTTAAAGCTTAAAGCATTACCATTTATTGCAAAGAGCGTCATAACAAAAAAGACTAGACAGAAATTGAATATACAGGTGCTCCAGAACTCACGCCCCAAAGAAAAAATTCATTTAAAATAAGATACCAGGAACATGGAAAAAATGTTTAAAAAATTCTATCTGTTAAAAAATTTTGACATATATTTTTGACATTTGACATTTTTTTATGTCTATTTAATGATACTGATGATTTTGTATATGTTTTTTACAATTATTTAGTAAAGGTATAAAAATTTTTCTTACTGGCTTTAATAAGAGTTTTCTTCCAAAATAAAGCAATTTGAGCAATTTTCAATTCACTAATAAAAGCCACAATAACATTAAACAGAATTACAATTCAAGATACAGCTTCCTTGTTTCCTTTTATAATAGCCTGTAGCAAAAAAACTTGGGAAATTATTCATCCAACAGAAATAAATAGAGTCAAAGTGCAAAATTTAAACTCTCATAACATTGAAATTTTTATAGATAAAATTTTTTCAACACTTTTTCCATGTTCCTGATATATTACCTTATATGGCATTTTTCTCTGGGGCGCGAGATCTGGCGCAACCTGTATATGTCCCCAAGCTCATCTTCTCTTAAAGGTTTTATAATAGTAATACCAAATTTTTAGCGAATAATGACGTGATGGTACGAAAATAATTATTTGTTACATCTTATTACTTTTTTACATTTGTTAGGGCTCCTATTGAAGTTAAATTTTTCAGTGAGGCCCAGTTATAGTTTCTTCTTTAATTTTGAAAATAAAAAAAAATATATGTATGATAAAAAGACAAAAAAAACATGCAAAATACATACTTCTAAAATTGTGGATTGTATGACTTAGTAAGCCTCAAGGACGCAAAAGCAATTAGGTGAATATTTCAGCTAAATTTGTAAATAAGCTAAATTCTTCATTCTTAATATTGTAATCATTATTATTATTTTTATTTCTATGGTTATTCCTACTAATTATAACATAATCTTTTTTATTTTTCATTATTCGTTTTACCCTTTATTTAATAAAAAATGTTTTTAGTTCGTGGCGGAGTCTGCTGTTTAGAATTTATTATTTTTTGTTTTCTCTATTAGAGATTTGCTAATTTAATGTTAATAAAACAAGAGACTACTTTAATAATTTATTAATTTCATTAAAAAAATAACCATTTATACAAAGTTGCGATATCCATATGAGAGTGAATTGCAAATGGGAAACAAGTCATAAAACAATAAAAACGTGACAATTACAAAACAACAAGAGACAAAGCACGATGTACACATTTCATATTTAAAACATTCAATCGATATATTAATATAGATATTATATTATTAAAGCTGCAAAATGTACAAAAATTGGGGCCAAAGCCTCGCAGATAAATATTTTACAGTTACGTAAAGCTTCTTTTACACAGAATATCATCAAGTATAAATAACTAGTATCTAAAATGTCCTTTCTTCGCCCGTCCGTTGTGATACACCCTAAGAGGGGTATACGAACCGTTCCCATTCACACCTAAAAAAACTCGTAGAAAAAAATCGAAATCTTTTATTAAACGTACTTTGGACGACTGAAGGTGCCGGATAAGGCGGGAGTTGAACATGCGGGACACAATAAGGCTTCAGGTAGAAGTGATATGCTACGAAATAGAGAGCTGCGATAATCGCAGCAGCGATTGCAAGACCTCCATACACGGGGCCGTGGTTATCCGGATATTTGACTTTTTCCGGATAAAGCGTATAGGCCGATCGGCCGATCAAAGCGCCGAAGCAACGGCCTGAAACACACCGTCAAAAGTGAATTTTGGTTTAAAACACTCACCTAAGCAAAAGTGAGCAATGACGGGCAGTGCTTGTCCCAAGGCAGTGTATTTTCTTGGAACTAAATGTCTTAAGTAAAGTATGGCAGTAATCCACATGAGATGTAGCGTAAAAATCTCCAAAACTTCAAAGATGAGCAAAACGGCAGCTTCGGTTATGTTCGCCAAGGCCACGTAATGGATGACATAAGTGACGAAGCACAAGATGAGGATGTTGGAATGGCTGCAATAATCGACCACTTTTTCGGCGAAAGTTAGGAGGGAGATGGCTGGGATTGCGCCCATTGTCACCGTCAAGCCAATTATCAGGTTCGAACTGTCGGGCATTGTAGCTGCATTCCTGAAAAAACTGTAAGATAATCAATTTCTAACGATGGGAGAGTGGTACCATGGCAAGTAGGCATCGATGGCGTTCCATAAAATCCCCAAAACAAATAGAATCACTCCAAGTGCGATGACTTCGTTTCGGTACTTCCGCACTGAAGACATAGGAAGGGCTAGAAGGCCGCAACGGGTGTACCACCACCATTCAGGTGGACTCAAAGGCATATTACTGCAAAAAATGTTCTTTACTTGTCTCTGGGTCCCTTTTAAACCCTTACTTATCAAATAATAAAATCACAATTGCGAGTAGATTAAGCACAGTAAAACAAATCAGGGCATCTCTAAGGTTTCCATTAGCACACCCTCCAATAATTGGGGCGAAAATCGCAAAACCTAAAGCCCCTGCAGCTAACTGTTTCCCAATGTCGCTCCTTCCGGTTGAAGTCTCCCGAGTCGCTATCACCACAGCGGTACTCAAAAGCGCCACAGCAGCGGCGGGGAAAATATCAGCAATTGATCTTATGACAAGGTACAGCCAAAAACTCATTGCGTTGTAACCACATTCTGAGGTTTTTAGTAAACTAGCAGAAGTGTAAGGTTCATGGATTGCACACAAGACGACAGGTTGGCAGTTCGGATCCTCGGTTGCTTTCAACTCTTTGACGATTTCTTGGGGCATCCTGCAGTGGAAATAATCGGCTAAAAACAATGTTTTATTGATGAAAAATATCAAGTTTGGTACTCACCAACTGGATATCGGCAGATATCTTCGTCGTCTGAATCAGTTTCGTTACTTGAGGAGGTTGCAAGGTTTGACTTCAGACTTAGAGGAATTTGTATTGTTTTCGAAAATTTGGTATAGACATCACAAATAGTTACATCTTTGTCAGTCTTGTGACATAAGTGAGGACTGAGGACAATTCCAGGATTGGCTTTGCTACTACTGACTGGGATTATAGTAGTTCCAAACTAGAACAAACTGTTCAAAATGAGTCAATTTTGCCTTGTGATTTACATCAGGCTCTGCTTCATTTGCGGGATCGTCGTAGTAGTCCTCCGTTGTTGTATCGTTTTCCTTGGTTTGAGGAGAAGGTTCAGGAATTGGTACCCCAGTGTAGAGAGTCGTAGCATTGCAGGAAAACGTACAGTCACGCAAGGAAATTTCCCCTTTCTGTGTAACAGAATTAGTCAAGTCCTTTTGACTCACCACTACTTACTTCACCATTCCAGTTATGACAAGTCCTCTCGTGGCCACATTTATTCTGAAGGACGAAAGCACCATCCTCATTACACGTAAAAGTAACACTTGAAGGGCTTCGTTGCTGCAAAAATCACAATGAAAAGTGTTCACTCACATGACTGTGACTTACGATTCTTGGTACAGTTAACAGAAGCCAGTAGAGGATTATGGCGAGTCCTAAACACACGGAAATCATGACTCTTAGATACCTCCCTGTTTTGCTCCTCGGTGACCCTCCATACCCCCCTGCAAGTCTATCAGCTAAAGGAGCGGCCACCAAAGGCCCTATCACTGCAACTAGAGGCGAGACAATCGAAATGATGGTGAATTCGTCCCGGGATAGCCCAATCCCGTTCATGTGATTGGGCAAAAACGGGAAGAGGCTGCCCAAAGCCCCGAAAAACAGGAAGAGGACACATTTTAATGTGATTAGATTTTTGTTGATTTCGCATTTCATTTTTGCTGCTTGGTTCTATCTGGCTGACATTTTTCGTTTCGATTCATGAGTCGGAGATCTGGAAAGAATTTTGACGGTTAAACTGGTTGTAAAATTTGCAACTGATGTAATCCTGGGCGTCCTTGTGCTTTAATTCTCGATTTTAGTGCAATTTTTGCATCGGCGCTTAGAACTTAATTGTATAATAAAAAATGAACTCATAGAGTAAGAATTCACGTTTTATGGGGAACGTTACGAAAAGAGAAAGGTCGATAGACATGCAAGGAGAAAACAAATCGATAGTGAGGTAAATGATGTCATCGGTTGTAAATAGATTGCAACTGGACGAAATTTGACGATGACGGAATAAAAGGGATTTGTAAATTTGTACGACCCACGGACGAGTCAAATCTTAACCGGCATTATTTTCTATTACATCACATATTGCTCAAGGCTAAGATAAAACGGAAATAATTAATTACAGTGGGAGATACAACTGCCAAAAGGAAACATTTGCCAAGCAAACAGTGTCCTAATTGAAGGTTAATAAACCGAAAATTTTGAACGACAGGTGGTCAAGAATATTTTACTCGAGCCGTTTCGGCGGTTTATCTCCATCATCAGGCTTTGTTTCAACTGTTCCTCAAACAGCCCACTATTTGTGTAAACATTCTCGTTGATGCAAAGTCATTTTGTATGCATGAGAGACCATGAAAGGGTTGTCTGTGGACTGTGACGCCGGCTTGCACACATCAACGCCTACTATGACCCCAGAATGTCACAATTTGGACGTATCAATCACGACTGCTAGATTGGTATTGATGGTTATTGTCCCTTTTCCACCCCTAAATGCATCCCTCCATTCACAGCCAAAGCAATTAAGGATCGTCTAACAATTCCCAACCGTATTGATTTCGTGAAATCTAGACGTCCGTGGAAATGATAAAACTCGATGATGACTCTTGATGAGTAATGTGGCCGCCTACGCCAGTGGTCATCTTTTTTGGAAAAAATGTGGCCACGAGTTTAATCTAATTCGTTTGACCTCTTGCGTACTTATCCATTCAACAAGTGGTTTTTTAAACTCGGCTTAAATACGCAACAAAAAGATTCAATCGATTGAAAACCTCCATCGTGGCTTGCTTTATAGTCCAAGTTCATCGAGTCTCCCACCAAAAAAAAGAACGAGTTTTAAATCTCTCGGTATACAAGGTGCATTCCTTTTATTGTAGCGTAGAAAAATTTCGTTATTACTTCATATTTAATTGGTTCGAAACGGAATTTAATTAATCCGCGTGTACCAAAGTCAATTTCCTTTTAATCACGCGATTCAATTAGACGAGATAGAGCTAATTGGTTGGAAGCACCGCTTAAAAGTTAATTTTTGTGAGGGAAAAAAGGAAAAGCTGGATGTAATTGACCTCGAAAATTTTATACTCTAGTAAACTCCCACAATTTCCGCACTCTGGTAATTACCTTTTGTTCGTATGTGGCACTACTAACCTTGAAATTAATCAAAATTATAAATCAGATTTAATAAGACAGTCACGTTGTGGAAAAAATTAAAATATGGTTTGTTTAATATTAAGGCTTTCAAAAATAATATGCGCGCCATAACGATAAAAACCAAGGGTCATGAATAGATAAAACTTGTTATGGTCGTTCGTCCTCATTTGAATTTTAAATGTAGAATAAAGTTAATTGACGTAACTTTACAAATTTTTGTTAAAATTTTCAACTACTATGGAGTCCAGTCAGGATATTAACCTTTGCAAATGTCACACTTTATTCATTATTTAGGTCAGTGTGTGGACAATGTGCATTGTGTCCACGTAATTCAATTATGTCACTTTTAAAAATAAAGAATACTAAAATAAACGTGACACCAGTAAATAAAAATAAAATTTCAGGAATCACCTAAAATTAATGATTTAGTCATTTTTTTTCTCTCGATTTAAAAAAACGCCAAGAATGTGTTTTAATCAAGCACATTAGTTGTAACAAAGTTCTATAAATATTCGTTGACAGTAGTACTGGGGTCAAATGCCATCTCACATTAGTCAATTGCTATTTTTAAATCTTATTTTACGAATAAAATGGAAAACAAGGCGATTGTCTAGTAGTAAATGCAAACGGTGTGTTTTTTCAAAGAACTAGTTCCAGTACCGCAATAAGGTGTGACGGTAGTAATGAAAAATTTCAATTAGGAAAAAAAACCGAGTTCAAGGCTTGAACTGATTGAATTTTCTCGCACTCTTATAAATAAGTGTCAAATTAGAAGCGCGAGATAAACATTGAGAAATGTTGCAACTGGGAAGTGATGAAAGGTTTTCATGAATAGGACTTTTATAGGATTTTAAATGCGGTGATCCTATTTTTGGACGATTCGGACTAAATTTGGATTCCGGATATCCTGGAAGAGTTGTCAACGCACTCAGCGATTGTTTCTCCAACGAAATCACTGGATTCGATTCGATTGTCGTTGCTATTTGTTTACAAAGCTATTTTTAAACTTTCAAAAATAATACAGCATTGTGAATGTTTTCAAGCTCCGGAACGGTTGTTTAAATTCATTTCCAACCTTTGTGAAAAATCCTATTGTTTCGGATTTTCTTTGGAAAAAAAAAGTACTGCTTGAGTAGAAAGAAATTCGATCATAAAAAATTCGATAATTGATAATGTACAGGACACACCAAAGGACATTTCTGAACAAGTTTATACTCGCGCCCCAGAGAAAAATGCCATGTAAAGTAAGATACCAGAAACATGGAAAAATTAAATTTTTTTCTTATAAATTCTCTCTATAAAAATTTGGAAGATATGAGAGTTTAAATTTTGCATTTTGACTTGTTTATTTCTGTTGCAAAAATAATTTTCCAAGTTTTTTTGCTACAGGCTATTAGAAGAGGAAACAATGAAGCTGTATCCTAAATTGTAACTCTGATGTTTATTATTGACAAAATTTTTGTACCTTTACTAAATAATTATAAAAAAAATCATATACAAGATCATCAGTATATATCATTAAATAGACATAAAAATGGCAGAAAATAAATGTCAAATTTTTTTTACATAGAATTTTTTAAACATTTTTTCCGTGTTCCTGTATCTTATCTTCAAATTTTTTTCTAGGACGCGAGTCAGAACACACCCTGTATATTAAAAATTTATATCTTTTTACAAACTCCAATGTTTTAAAAATGACAAAGATTGTCAAAAAAGAGTGTATTTTGAAACTTGATAAAAGAAGTAAAAAATCAGGTCACCTATGTGAAAGAATTTTAATTTTCGATTTTGAATCTGGAAAAAAAATCAAAGTTCAAAAATTCAAGTTGTTTTCGGGGATTTTAAGCCAAAAAAGGTCAAAATGAATTCGGCCTTTCCGTTATTTGTATTGTTTTATTTTTGTATCTACATTACATCACCGGGAATTCGTGTTAATTGCGTTCAAGTTTATCAATATACGGTTTGTATCCATGTTTTCAAAATGTCAAAATGACATCACACTATCTTATTAATTGCTTTGCTAATTGCAAATATCTTGAATAATTGCAATCTTCAATTAGCCTCAGTTGTAAAGAAAAATTCTTTTTTTAATAAAAAACAATTATTCAGTGACAGAAAGGCGTAAACAGTGACTCATCCTCATCATAAATAATTAATAGTAACATTTTTAGAATGGAATAAAATTGTTGTCGTACCTGACGCGTGAATAAATAAAATTTATCAAATCCGTGTTAAAACGCAAAACACCAGCGTAACTCACCAAAAAATCACGTTTAAAATTATTCCAAATCGTCAAAACACAAACTAAACCATCGACCCGCTTCCCCGATCTAAATAAATAAAATCACTCCACGTGAACGTCGAAATAATCGTTCGTATCGAACTTTCCTCGACAAAGTTGTGCTAGCAACTAGTGTGTAAATGCGAAGTTGTATGAGAAACTCCAGTCAGCCGCATTCTATACACCACATGTTTGCCGTTGGAACGGTTGAAGGCAATCACCTGGCCTCCATGGCGAAACTCAAGACTGTATTGAGGAATTCCCACTGTGAAATTCGCTCCAAAAACCTCAGAAAACGTCCCAAAATACCGAAAAATAGGTCGGCTCCGAGCCGTTCATGGTGCAAACAATCTCCTTTGAATCAAAAGAACGCATGGTTGGCCGGTCATCAGCGTTGGTACAAAATCCGGCCAGGTAAGTCGCGAGGTATACCTGATGCATCACCCATTGTCAGAAGAGAAAAATCGAAATTAAATGGAGAAAATGTCGGAGAGGTGAAATTGGAGCTGGCTAACTTTAGTCAGATGTGCAGTCACGCAACAGGCGATACTAATAAAAGCTGCCCACACGGTGTGTGTGCCCTATTTTTCACACGTTATGCAGACTTTGTAATTGAGAGATGACAAAATGGGAATCTGACACGCAAACAACGAGAGAATAGAGTTGAGTAATTTGTAGAAAAATTGTCATAATATTTAAAAGCACATGCAAGATCTCGTATTAGGTTTCGTGTTGTTAGCGCTTGATTTCCTCCGGTAATGAGATGGAAATGTAATGAAAGGTAATAAAGGTAACTAGTGTCGGTATAAGTTATAAAAATTATCATCATTGTGTTATGTTGAAAGAATACTTAACAATTAATTGCAGTTTGTTTACCAGCAACAAGAGGAAATAGTGGCTATTCAAATATTTCGTTTTATTTATATGAACTGTGCCAATGATTCATTTATGAACTTTTGAACTTTTGCCAGTACTTGGCTCTTCTCCATGCTCTGATTTTTTGAACAGTTTTGGAGCTCCTCTGTTTGTTTATTCACAATCAGTATAGTAATATGCATATGATAGGAAATTTGTCATTACATCCTGTGGTCGGGAAGTAATTTATGAAGTTTTACCAAGGCTACAGCTTATCAAATCTCAAAAACTTAATTTGTTTGTATAGCATCTATGTATATCAATACATCAACTTTGACGAAAAAACAAATATTTTATTATTTAATGAAATGTGATCGTAAATAAAATAGTATACAAACCTCGGGGGAAATAGATATTCCCCCTTGGGCTCTATCCAACTTTCTATCAGATATGTGAGCCCTCGGCGTAATGAGTAGTAATGACACATTTTCCACTTTGCATGTAATCTACTATTACTTTCTTAAAGCTATTTCTATCGGAAACATAAATCGAAATATACCAAAACAAAACTTTTAAAACACTAAGTGACTAATTAAAAAAAAGTTATCTTTATTGACGATATTTTTATTCAATAACTTGATTCTGATTTTTTTTATGTTTCAAAAAAAAAATACTGTTGTCTCACCTAAGAATTTCGGTTCTAATATTTCTGTTATTTGCCAACGAATTTTACTGAAATTTGAAATGTGGATTATTTAGTAGGGGGAAATAAATATCGCAGTACGAAAACAATCATAGCCTTTAAAGTGCGATTTTAACATGCCCCTTAAAAATGCTAAATTATTTAAAATTTATATCAAAGTGTTAATCGCTAATAAAATCTGAAAAAGGTCCCGCTTACAAGAAAAAAAAATAAAATTGTAAAAGTTTTTATTGAAATTCAAAAATTTATTCGATAAAAAAGGAGGGTCTTGTTATATTACCTATGATAAAATACTTTCAAAAATTAAGTCAAAATTTTAACAACGTAATCGATGTATTTTTGCTGATTTAGACGAGTGATTTAGTTAATTTTTTGGGTAGAGGTTTATTTTTTAGTGCTTAAGAATATAATAGTAGTTTCGCTTAATTTTAAATTGAGAAAACATGTGTTAAAATTATTATTTTATCTTGAAGTAATTTTATTAATACTAATTGTATCTCCACTTTCTAAGGTTCTAAGTTACCTACATATTAAATTTCATAAAAATCCGTTGGCAAATTAGGCCTGAAATTCTTGGATATATTTTTCACAAACTTTTGGGTTTAATAACGCATAGGTAAATACTAAAACGAAATAATGCAAACAGGAAAAAATGTTTCAAATTAGGATTTTGTTATAGTATTCACAAATATATTATATTTATTTTGTATTTGACGCTTTGTGGCCGTTGTCATCATTGTCAATTGTACAAAGTAAATTATAATAGATATACAAATGAGTGGAAATTGCAAAAAACAAAAATATTTGTCTGAGTTGTGAGATAAAATTTATGATATTTTTATTAATTAAAATTCTTTTAACACTTAAAAATTGCTGTCTTAAAGACTTTTTCGTAGCTTGTTTTATCGGCATTTTCAAACGCCTGGAGCATTCGTTAACCCAACGTTGACGTATTGAATCTATCAACAAACTTTTGCAGCGGTGTTATAAACAGAAATGGAAGACAAAGGGAACCTCTATTCGAAGTATTCGAACCAAATTTAGCTCAAATTATTTTCTTGATAAAAAAATTAAAACGGCAAGTGTTTGAAATTGTGTGTTAATGCATCGATTACCGCACAAGATCCTCGTTCTTGATTAAAGGAAGAAATAAAAGAAAAGTGCGTCCCGCAATAAAATTTTTATGTCCAACTATACGTAATGAAGGCATTGCGTGCACCGCTCTAATTTCGTAACAAAACCTTCCTTGTCCAGGGGCGTCAATACAACACAAAACCAACCAAATTTTATTTATTTAACACAGCAATTACAGCATTTTATATCTTTTATCTTTAGCCACGAATTTGAATTTCCTGTACTCTTCAGACGTCCATTTCTTGTGTATTTTCCACGCGACTTCCACCGCATCACCTGAAAAAATATTAACCGTAATTTCCATAAATGAATCGTGACGCGCCCTAATGGGCCTGGCTCCTCGTGCGTAATTCACTGATTAAATTATTCCGACCTAATTAAAAAGTCTCACCGATCGGCTCGACGGGAAATTCGGTGCGATCGAAAGTAAACGGTTCTTCGACTTCTTTGAACATTTTTGAGTCGATGTAAGTCTGGTTGAAAGTCCCGTTGAAAGTCGAGTTGAGGTAGTTTATGAATAAGTACCACCGCGGGGCGAAAAAATGCGAAACCACTCCTGAATTACGATGGGTTAGTTTGGGCGGGATGGCTAATGGGGGTATTACCTGCCCATTGTTTGCTTGCGTAATCCATGATCTCACCGCGCGGGCCCCAGAGAGTGATTTGATTACGGGCGTTGTACTCGAATTGGGCTTCTTCATCACTGTCATTGGCGGCCTTTTTGGCGGATTCCAGCCAAGGGCCGAGCAAAAAAGCGGAATTTGTTGACAAAATCTCATCCAAGTCGTCTAATAACTCCATAAATTTTTTAGAATTGTCTCTAAAATTATCAAATTTTATGATTGTATCAATTAAGTTCTAAAATACTAACTGGAAATTCACAGTGTCGTTACTTTGATAATTTTTAACCATTTCCTTGTAGTACAAATCTCCATAAACTTGAAGTACTTGTCTGGTGACATCAACCAAGTCATGCAAGTACCCAGTGTTGGTACCCAAATTATCTGACGCGTCTAAAAGACTTGTCCATGCTTCCAATAAGTCGTTAGTGGCATACCAAGTCTAAAAAAACTGCTTATAAAAGAAATTGTTTAGTTAAGTGGTACCCAAATTTTTATTTTGAGACTTGGCGACTTGGTGATTGCGTATTTTCCTCTCATTTTATTCAAACCTTGATAATCGTAGACCGTTTTCTGTAAAAGACTGTTAGGTCCAATCAACTCTGATTTATTTTATTACTTGGAGTATCCGCCAAGCATTTTCTGCATTACTATCAGGAAATCCGTACCTCCTAGTCGAGTACTTTTCAAACCATTCCGTTAGATTTACCGCAGCTTGTCTCCACGCCGTTTCGGTCATTAATTCATAAATAACATAGTTTTGATTAATCCCTTCAGGTGTTAAACCTGTTCCAATCATGGTACTATTTTCCATGTTTCTTGCGTTTATTGGTACCTACCGTATAATTTGATTTCAACTTGATTGATACCTGTAGAGTGGTACTTACCTCATTTATTATCGTGGAAGAACCAAACATGCCTAAAGTACCACCAAAATCATGTAACATGCACCAAATATAAGGTTGGCCAAAGTACTGATTGAGTCTTTCGTACTGCGGAAACTGTTCCGATTGAAGGTCCAAAACGATCATTTTGCCCTTTAAAATGTCTCATAGTTAGTATCAAATGAAAAGATACAGAGAAACCTCAACCGAAAGCCCCCAAAAAACGTACCAATGGGACACTAGTCAGAATCGCTCGAACTCTCTCTGTATCTTGCCAGAAATTATCATTGTAAAACATCCAACCTTGGAGCAACCTAGAAAAAACTTACTTTAGGTACTGCTGTCAAGATAGCTTTAGCCCTGTTTCGAGTCCAATAAAAAAAATCGTGCACAAATAACCAATTTTGCATTATCCTGAAGTACCCTATTTTAATACCACTTTTACTATTCTCTACCTACCAAATCGCATCAGAATCCGTGTCGGTCATGGCCTTGTAAATCGATTTTCCGACGTTAGCCAAGTAGGTCAAATCTCCACTTGTTGGTACATTTTCATTGAAACTGTCACAATTATACATGTGGTCAGTACCAAACTCGGAAATTTGTTCCGAAAGGAAGGCTTTCCCAATTTCGTTAAATAACGGTTCCGTGGGGTCCAGAAAATAGGGGCAACAATAAGTGTCGTTAAAACCATTCCAAGGATCCATCTTGGCCATATTAGCATCGGGATAAAGTCTCTTGAAAGCTCGAGGCAAATGTCCGGCGAAAGCTGGTAGTACTGGAATCATACCAAAAGCTCGCATTCTTTGCAAAATCTGTTTTTGTAAAATGAGCGATCTTGAATGCCAAGCAGTGCTCAAAGGCCCACCAAAACCTCGCATATTGCCCATCCGTAGCCTGAAATTATCCCTAAATTGACCAAAATTCAGTTAAAATTTTTTACCATGACAGAAATGCCGGTCCCGAGAAATGCTCATCGATTTCTTCCTGCGTCAAGTTAAATTTTTTATACACTCGATCCCATATCGCTTCTTGGCCGTTAAATGCGAGTACCAGATTGAACCCATTTAGCACCATCCAATCTATGTGCTTTTCCCATTGGGTCCAGTCCCACCATACAAAGGAATAACTAGTGGTACACACATTTTGGTAGTACCGAAACCTGTCATTCAGTGTTATGGTTAAATTGACTTCGGGTAGTACTTCAGGAACTTTCAGTTGGGACGTTTCCCATGAAACGTGACAATTACAGAAATACTTGAGGTAATGGTTAATACCAGTAGCTGCTGCAACTCCAGATGTTCCAGTGATTTGGATCAAATGATCGATTTTTTCTATCTAAGACATAATTTTATCGATTTGAATTTTTATAATTTGTGACTAACTACCTTAAAAGCGTCTTTATCCTGGTCATGGCTTAAGTCAGGCTGAATTTTAATATTAAAGAATTGGGCTTGGTCTGGGATTATTCTCTTGATTAAGTCCTTGACTGCATCTGACTGAGTTTCAGGGCTTGCTTTAGGCCTGATGTGATCTAGAGTTTGAAAATATTATAAGTGGTACCTCTATCATGAAATCTTTTCTGACTTACCAAAACCAATTACGGAATTAAATGTAATTAAAAGTAAAATTAAAACGAATTTCATTGTTAGCAAGCAAAGTCAAGTTGTGGACTGTGAACTCAAACGTTGTTTATTCTTTTGATAAATTGTAAGTACTCTCAATTGGCCACAACTGTGTTTTCTATTGTAGTTTTAAGTGCTTTTATCAGTGCTTAGTTATCGTGAGGCTTGAGATGTAAAAAAGTATGGATAATTTGAACATATTTTCAAAAGAAAAGATAAAAATTTGAAAATTAAATAGTCGGCGCCATCTGGTAATCACTATATGGAATAGTAGAAGATTCCTAATTTACGAATCATGTAAATTTATGATATTCTTGTCGATGATTTCAGTTTTAGTAGTTTTGTCATAATTAAATGAAAAGCTTTGTATGGTAATTTTTTTATTTTTGTTAATAAATAGTACAAATAAAACATTTAAAACATTCTTCTGGCTTTTTCAACCACGTGGATGTAGAATCCGGGGTTTTCAATTTCTTCCAAATTCTTGAAATCACCAAAAATATGGAATAGTGATTTTTCACCAAAAGCTTCTCGTAGCATGTCTTTGAAAACCTCTAATCGGTGAGGATAATACGACAATCGGAATTGGCTGAAAAAGCTCGCTGTATTACCACTAAAGCTGAAAAAACAGTTACCTGACATAATCCATATTTATTTCGTCACTTTTTCCATACACTGTTGAAGTGTCGATTAAATAATCCAAAGTGACTAAAGCCGGTTTTCCAGAAACGAACAAAACCGAGGGTTTTATTTCAGTCATGTGTTTACTCTGAAAAAAATCGTCATTTATGTTTATTTCAGTTTTTCTCTACTTACATTGTAATAAATACATTTCGAGGGTGTTTCGCCCGTGTTTATAATGTGGTCGTAATTCCTGTGATCGATCAGGAGCAGTCCTCCAGGTTTGACGCACTTTTCGAAATTTTTAATCGCTTGTCTACGAAAATGTATAAGAGAAGTTTAACTAAAGGAAAAATGATTTACTTTTGTTCTCTTTGATCTCCGAATGAGTCCAATAAATGGGCAAAGGAGTTTCCCAGACAAATCACAGCATCGAATCCATTGCCCACAATTTGTTCAATGTCGTCATAAAGGGTCAGCCAGTTCGCTTCTTCAATCACTGAAATTTATTCGTAAATTTGCTTGTAATTATGACCGGTTTTGAATTTTACCCCAGTTGTAAAATGCAGGTTCGTCTCTGCGATTCCACCGAGCCTTTAAGGCATATTTGAGCATTTTGTCTGAAGCGTCAACTGAGACGACTTCGAAACCTTCCTCGAGAAGCATGATGGAATCAATACTGAACAAAATATAAATACTTGTAAAGTAGTTTTTTTCTTGACTTACCCCGTCCCGCAGGCTACATCTAAAATCCGTTTGCACCCCCTTTTCTTTAAAAGACCGACTAAGAAATTTTTGTAATTTTGTGTTCTTGAGTTTTTGTCGCCGATAAATATTTCCCAAACTTTGGCCGCTTTGCCATCAGCGTATTGATCTTTTATACCTTCAGCGGCAGTTCCGAGAGAGCGAGTTTGAAAAACACTTTCAGCCATTTTCACAACTAAAATAAAACGAAGACAGGTTTGATTTTTCTTTATTTTTAATGCTAATTACAATAGTGGGTCACAAGCACTAATACAATACAAAAACGTTGATGTGTGGTCCTGAGAGAAGACGTCTTTTATATTTATTTGAGTGAGTGGAGGGAGAGTATAATCAAGCGCTTAGTTGCATCATGCAGTTGGGTAAAGTTTTAATCGATTGAAAAATATTTCATTTCTGTTTTTACTTAAAATATTTCTTATCAAATATTGGCGAAATTTTGAATTGTTTTGCGATTACGCGAGGTTAAAATCTGGTAGTAACAGGATATTTGTTTCCACAAATTTAGTAATTGTTGCTATGTCATCATTGGTGGAAATATTTTCTAAAGAGATCAATTAATTGTCTAGTCATTATCTGTATAAACACATCCAGATGATGCAAAAGTTTATCGGGTCAATAAATTTAATAAATCTTCATGGAAATTTCGTTCACAGGCACGTTCGAGCTGTCACTTTATTTTTTTCATGATAAAACTTAATCGCTTGCTATTTTTACACTATTATTATAAAACAGGGACACACGTGAAAGTCACGACAAAACATTTTTTTTATTTTAAAAATTATTATTAAAAATTTGAGTCACAGCAAAGACAAAATTTTATACAAATAAAGTTCAAAGTCGAACAATACAGCTTTTGGCTATTATTTATTTAATTCTTGTTCCACTGCATTTAGGTACATGTTTATTTCTTGTTTTTTTTTTTTTTGATAAGCGACGCTTTTCTACATTGCCATGCTGTCCAATTACAAATGCAATTATGCATTAAAAATGTGTTTACTTCCACTGAACATGAAATTGACCAAAACGTTTCTTAGTCCAAATCTTGTTGCTTCTTCTTATTTAATGACGTCGAGCATACATGTATTCATTGATATAAAAACAAATAAGGATGTGAGAGGACCAAAAAAGGGCTTAAAAGCTTAAATTGCCCCAATTTTTATATACGATGAAAAATTTAATTCTATAAACCACCAAGATCTGAGCACACGAAAAAAAATTTTGCAAACCATAAAAAAAGAAACTTATAAGAAATCAATGGACGACCGTTTCTTTTGTTGTCACCTGTAGATATAACAAATTAGAAGGATTCAGTGTTGGCATTAGATATTTTTAATCACAAACAAAATAATTGTCACCCGGTATTTTGAGGACGTTGCACACACGTGTGTATATCTAATTGCATACATTTTTTGTTGAGTGGCATGTAATCTGTGATCACGCAATTTTTAGATTTTAAAGTTGATTATAAATAAAATGAGAGTTTTAGTTTTGTGTTTTAATGGTACTTTTTTATTTATGTTGATGGTGGTGTTGTGTTTCTATAATTTAGGGTAAAGGTGCTTCAAAAAGCTTCTTTTTTAACTTTTTAGTTGGGTTTTAAAAATACGATTCAGTGTTTTATAAAATAATTTTTTCAAATCTGTATTTTTATACGCGACTGATCTCTGATTGATTTTGTGTTATTCTTTTTTCTTTAAACTGAAATTTAAAATTTTTCGATTAAAATTAAGGTATAA